AGGAATCCACGATGATTATCGTTCGCGTGATACTTTGTACTAGGTATCAATGCGAAACCTAGCTTGAGTTGCAAAGCTAGACTAGACCGGATGGATGACAAGCTCAAAAAATAACATGAAATACGAGGCCGCTCGATTGAGCTATTGTTGATTTTTTTTCTCCCCAAAACATGAACTACCCTTTCTGTGTACGTCTACGTACGTCAATGAAACTCGCTTCCAAAACCATTTGAAAAGATATATTAGACCTTTTCAAAAGTTAGATGATGACACTAAAATTTTAGTTTTACAACTGAGGGAGCAAATTGGACTAGCCGAATTGTTGAAGAGGTCAAATAGATTTGTTTCCATAAAGAATTTGGCGCTTTGGGCACGGGCACGTACGGCCCAGCTCGGTTTCTTGTTGTGGCTGCTGGCCATGAGCTCATCAAGCGAAGAGATTGAGGCGGTGGGGCCATGGGCCATGGCCTGCTGACCTTGTCCCACCTGAGCATAATGGGCATGCTTTCTCTCTCTCTTTCTGTGTGCGCGCGAGCAATGTATGTACGTAATTACGGGAAGCACGCTGGTCGAATTATTTCAAGTTTAACCAATTTTATAGAAAATAATATTAGTATTTATATCTCTAAATAAATTTATTATGAAAATATATTCTATAACTAATTTAATAATATTTATTTTGTTTTATGAGTGTTAGTATTTTTTTATATAATTCTAGTCAAAATTTAAATTGTTTATGAGAATTGCAATTTTTTTTTTGGACGGAGTGGGTACATGGAACAAAACGCGTGAACGCTATCGCCGCGCCGAAGACACGCTCCTTCCTTGGGCCGCGGGCGGGCGCATCCTCGCAACGCGTCTTCTCGACTCGAGCCAGAAGAAGCGGACCCAGTTTGACACGCTCCCCAAGCCGTTTCGGCTCGCCACGTCATAAAACCCAACCAGCCTCCCAACTCCATCTCCAACCAACCCAAGGAAAAGGAGGAATCCATTCCATTTTCCATTCCCAACACAACCTCCCCACCAGCCCACCGCCGCCGCGATCTCGCCGTCTCCCTCCTCCACTCCACGCCCCGAGCCCCCAATCCCCCATGGCCGGCTACCCGCCTACCGGCTCCGGCTACCCCTACGGCTCCGGCGGGGGATACGGCGCCCCGCCGCCGTACGGCTCCTCGCCCGCGCCCTCCGCGCCTCCCTACGGCACGAAGCCCCCCAAGGAAGGCAAGACCTCCTCCGGCTCCGCGCCCCCCTACTACGGCGCGCCGCCCCCCTCCCAGCCCCCCTACGGCGGTGGGGGCGGCTACGGCGCACCACCCCAGCAGTACGGGGCCCCGCCGTACGGCGGCGCCCCGCCCTACGGCGCCCCACCCCCGCCGTACGGGGGAGGAGGGCCAGCAGGGTACGGCGGCAGCCCGTTCTCGTCGCTGGTGCCCTCGGCGTTCCCGCCGGGGACCGACCCCAACGTGGTGGCCTGCTTCCAGGCCGCCGACCGCGACGGCAGCGGCATGATCGACGACAAGGAGCTGCAGTCCGCGCTGTCCGGGTACAACCAGAGCTTCAGCCTCCGCACCGTCCACCTCCTCATGTACCTCTTCACCAACACCAACGTCCGCAAGATCGGTGAGTCAGTCGGACGAACGGCCTCGTCCCCCGTCGTCGTCGTCCCCTCGCCCCCTCTCTCTCAGCCTCTTCTTCAGACTTCAGCCTGACAGCCCCCCTCTGCTCCTGCCGTTGTTCGTTCTAGTGCGCGGCACGGATCGATTCGTGGTAGACTGGTAGTGCGTTAGTTAGCTTGTTGGGGCGGGCGGGTGCCCTGCTCGTCGTCCTCAATGGTGGTCAGCGGTGCGGTTATGCGCCGTGCACGCAGCTCTGCTCGCCACGTGTAATCCTCCGGGTTTGCCAAGCACTCTGACTCAGTGCCTGCTCCTGCGCAAGATATTTTGACTTTGGGAAATGATACCGAGGCCTCATGGACATTACCATTTACCAGTGCAGCTCCTACGTGGGTTTACAATACTACTACTACCAGCCTGTGACAGACACAGATTTGTCGGCTTAGCGCCAATTTGATCCTTTCTTTAACAAGTCCAGCGCTTACTTTCTTTAGCAAGTTAGAGTTGGACTTGGATTTAATGGCAAATATTGATTTGCAAGTAGACCCATTTCTTTATGCGCAGCGCAGAATCCAAGATGATTATGTAGAGGAGTAGACTGTAGACAAAACTTATGGTTATAAGATTTAAGTTCCAGTACTGACCATGTGCTGTCGATACTGCAAGGAACGTGAAGTTCCTGTTGGCAGTCTTATTGCAAACCACGGAACTTCTTTGTAGTGTGGCAATGGTTGAGTACTGCTAGTAGGCCATGTTGCTCTCTAGCCATTTGCTGTAACTTGGCAGCCTGGCACATAGTTTGGCAATCAGGAAATGGAAGAGACCTGATGTATTGTTCCAGTCAGCTCTAGATGCGTTTATTTAGAAATTACTTACTAGTTACCAGCTGTCTCAGGCACACCGAGTGGTCTGTTCTTTGGTTTGTAGTGGCAAACTAGCAATTTGATCCTTTCATAAAGAAGCAGATAGTTTACTTGCGTTTTAGACTGATTGAGTGTCCAATAGTGAATCGGTCAAGTAGATCCATTTCTTTATGTGCAAAATCCAAGATGATCATGCAGTAGAGGACTAGGCTATAGATGACTTAGGTAGTTATAGGGTTATTTTTTCCAGTACCGCTCACGTGCTCAATGTACTGCAGGTAACATGAAGTTCCTGTATGGAACTTCTTGTAGTGTTTGAACAATGAAGTATTGTTAGTAGTAGGCTATGTTGCCCTTTGGCCTTTCGATGTAACACTGGAACATAGTTTGGTAATGGGCAATCCTGTTTGCTTGAATCGGTCCAGTTTGGTACAAATTCTGTGTAACTTGAAAGCTCTAACTTGATCTTCGTAGTCAAAACAATTTATGCAAGATTTTCATATACCATTTTATTCAAGCCATGAGATGTGTGTTTCTTCATTCGTGTGAACTTAAAAGATCAGTGCTAACTTGTGTTTCTTTCTCTCCCTTTTCCTGACTAGTATGAAGTGCACCTATATCAGATTCAGCATTTCCCTTCCATCTCCTGTATAGTCTAGATTTCTTAATAAAAATATGCTAATGTGTGTTTCTGCCCTTTCAGGACCCAAGGAATTTACTTCTGTGTTTTACAGTCTTCAGAACTGGAGAGTAAGATGACCTACAACTTAATGTTCCCTTTTTCACTTTACCTATGTGTAAGCAAAATTGAACAATGAATTATTGTAGTGAAGTGATGTTTCGTTGTATTTTCAGGAAATATTTGAGAGGTTTGATCGTGATCGAAGTGGTAGGATTGACACATCAGAACTGCGTGATGCTCTTCTCAGTCTGGGATATTCTGTCTCTCCAACCGTCCTCGATCTGCTTGTGTCTAAATTTGACAAGACTGGGGGCAAGAGCAAAGCAATTGAATATGATAACTTCATTGAGTAAGGACCTTCCTTCAATCTAACTGGTTCTCATTTTTTAACAATGTTTTCCGAACCTTATCAGTAAGGAAATTATTGTATTTCACAGTTGTCATGGATGTTCATAACTGGTTGATATCAGCCTATGAGTAATAAACTTGCCTTATAACTAGTTAAAGATTTACCTAGACTGATTTGTTAATGAACTGTCCTGTTAAGTTCAGTTATGTTTTCTGATGCAAGACTATTGCGATGTCTAAAACTGAATTTTTTTTAATATCCTATCTGCATTCAGTTTGTCCTACCACAAATACTAACTGTGTTTTCTTTTTCTTTCTTTATCTTTGCAGATGCTGCCTCACTGTTAAGGTAACTAATGCCTGCACTGTAGTGTGCAAACACGGACATTTCAAACTTTTCTTTGCATCTGATCTTGCAAATACAGTTATGATCTTACCTGTGGTCATTTATTTGGATTACTTTGCAGGGACTGACTGAGAAGTTCAAGGAGAAGGACACTGCGTACTCTGGGTCGGCAACTTTTACCTACGAGGCCTTCATGCTGACCGTGCTCCCTTTCCTCATCGCGTAGTGGCAGTTCACTCCACAGCTCAGAACAAGCTTTATAAGCCTTTTTAAGTTTTATTATGTAATACTATGCCTGCTGTACAAAGATGGTTATGTGCGCAGAGTGTTTTTAGATGAGTTTCAGTTCTGGGTTTAGCATGTGTTGCGAGTCATAAAGTTACTCTGGAATGGAGAAGGTACTTGTTGGTTGAACAGATGCTTTATGGTTGTGGCCTGAGGGTGGGTATGGGACTATGGGTGGCTCAGAAATTGCTGCATTGTGGACTTATCAGTGTGTTGAATAATAACTACTCACTCCATCCCAAATTATAAGACGTTTTGATTTTTTTAGACACATTACTTCTACTATATATATCTAGACTACTACTATACATCTAGACATAATGTATATTTAAGTGCATAGCAAAAGCTTCGTGTCAAGCCAAAACGTCTAGTTAGTTTGGAATGGAAGGCCATGCTTCGTTGCGGGGTTTATGGCCACTCGCCACATACTCGTTTCATTCCACGATTGTCCATAGCATTTCTAAGCTGTGCCATCTGCCAGTGTGGCTCCAGAAAAATTGGAATAAATAGCGAGTTTATTCCTTTAGGATCACTAGTTGCACGCGAGTTTTGCTACTTGCTTTAACCTCAAAATTCCTCATCAAGCATTGCTATGTTACAGTAGCTAGGGCGCTGCAAATCTCTAAGTTGGGAGCTACCCCAAATTTCGTACCCACTTTTTCATGATCAATCTACTTGATTCCTATAAGGAGAGCTCGTCCATGCAGGTCTCGCCCTGTCCCGAGAGTATTTAACAGCCAAAACGGATGAGCCTAGTGAGAAAAGGCCCGAGCCTTTGTAAAAGCTGTACACTGCGCACACACGCCATTTACATTTAGTATTGAACGGTGTGCCAACAAACACGCATGTGTCTAGAGCTAGAACTAGAACGGAGTCTGGCACAGCGGGCAAGTCGATTTGTTGGACGTCGAGAACCACTTGTAGAGGCAGGCGCCATGGAACTTGTGCTTGCACGTCTTGCACGCCAGCCGTGGGAGGCTGTGGTTGCTGGTGTGGAGAATGCTGTAACAGATTGGGCACTCCTCCACGCCCTCGAACTCCTTGTCGAAATTGCTCTTCCATGTGCAGATCGCCTCTGCTATTGCACCGTTCTGCAGAGAGAAATAATTAGCTTAGTTAAATAGAGCTACATTCTTAACGTCACAAAGCCATCAGTAGTTGTCCTCTAATTTGTGTTCTGAGTAATTACCTGGTTGCGGACGAATGATGTGAGGGAAAGCAACCATTTTCTGCACTTCACTTCACTGATACCCAAACTTCTTGTGCATTCAACATCGACGTGGCGCAGGGGGTAACAATTCGGGAGGCGTATGACAAGATCAATTCCTGTCTCCTCCTTTCTGTATGTAGCAACAATTTCGAAAGCTGACCTGTTGACGCTAACTGAGAAATTCTCATCGCCGTACACAGAGTCCTTAACCTGCAACAGGGTAAAATTTGTGCAACAGGCAATTATAAAGCTCCTGGGGATGACATGGACTGATGGACCTATGTGATTTCAGGAGATGTACAGGATGAAGCCACTCAGCCACTGCCACATGAGGTCAACAAAATATAGAAAAATAAAACTAAAAACAAAAGAAATACTTGTGCCCAATTGGTTATTTGTATACAGTTTTTAAGGGTCAAATAATAAACCTTAGAAAGATCAGAGCTGTGCAACAAATTTGAATATGCAGAGCCAATATCTTGTAAAAGAAGGATCATCTTACCTGAGAAAATTCATCTAGCAGAAGAGGAGGGCTGCACCATTGTTTGGTGAAGGACTCGATTGAGTATGACAATGAGCGGTCTCTCAAGGTAGTAAACCATGTAAGCACAAAGCGAAGGCAGCAGCCTAATCATCATCCCATACAATGAGCCTGCAAGTGAGGCCATTTGCGAAGTCCCAATGGGCCAAACAGATTCCAAGTACGGAAGCAAAGAACAAGTAGCTATGGCATTCTTCGAAGCTTTGGCAGCAGCTTCTGCTTCAGGCGCTAGCTCAGTATCCTTTTTCTTCCCACTCGGTGCAGCAGCCTTTACTGGGATATGCTGGAAAATGCAATCCAATATGCACGGACTGACCTTTTCTTGTATATATTGAAGCACATCTCCCCTGATACTGGAAGATGCTGGTAGTATCTGCAGGTGGGACAGCAACAATGCCCAGGCAATGAATACATCAACCTAGTGAAAGAAAACACCAACAGACCATTAGCACACGAGCTAAGAAAAATTGCTTTTGAATTTAAAATCACTAAATACAGTAAATACAGTATACCCTATCGCGAGCTGTCAGATCAGTTTTGAGAAGTTCAGATGTTGGGAACTCGATTAAGTCTGAAAGTTCATCTCTTAGATGCACTTTCTTCTCTGAATCTGGCATCAACTCAGCACTTTGGCTTATGCCAGATTGCTGAACAGATGAGCAATTTTCTCCCATTGAACAATTTTTAACCAGTGAAAGCTGACAGAAGGGCTGAGACAGAAGTAGAGAGAAAGCTGCAAGCTGTAAGTGAAATATTGGTTGTGAGGAGAAAAGAATCGAATATAATCCACTGACGGAATCCTTGGTCAGTCCCCAAAGTTCCATGGACTCCAGTGCAGACTTTCTAATTTGCAGTGGAGCATTTTTTATGAATGATGCCACAAGTTCCCAAAAGTGCAAATAAGCATGGCGACTAGAACCTATGACAGATGAAGCCTCTTCACTGCAAGATTTTGCGATTGCCTCTGAAACACCAGAAGCCAAGAACAAACGGAGGATACTCTCTACCATCTTGTCATTACTCTCAGCATAGTTCCCTGATCTAATAAGCTGTACACTCCAGGAATTTTCTGCTTCTTGGATATTACAAAGATGGTTGAGGTGACACATTGTAACCAAAGCAGATTCTGCAAGGTTTAATGTTAACTTATCTGTAGTGCCAACCACTAACTTAAGCTTCTCCAAGGCATCTTCACTTGATACCTGGTTTATTGTGGCATCATTTATGCCATCAGTCATTTCTTCCACAAGCAAAACAGATGATTCAATACACTTGAATACCATGCGGAACACAGAATGCCAATCATTCTCCTGAAGGTTTCTCCGGCAATACCCAACCACAACAGCTGTCAGTTTCACTCCCAGTAATTCAACTGTCGTTGATACTGCAGTTTCACTAGTCAACAATGATGAAGCTGTACTACCATAGAAAATCTGGTATTTCTGAAACAGAGTCAGCATTAGTGATCTTTCTGTATCACTAATCTCTCGCTCAACCACAACTACCAATTTCTGGGCTCCTCCAGTTATCCTCAATGGAAAGCAAGACAACACCACTTGCATCCAGTCCTCAATATCTGACAAAGTAAGAGACTGTATTACATGATTGTAAAGGCAATATTGCACCTGCTTTATCAAATATAAGAATTCTAATGCAACCTACCTTGTACAGGTATCTCCCTTGGGCTGGTTGACAGACAAGAGATGGCTGCATCAAGCCAACTCTGTATGCTTTTCCCCACCAAATCAGCATACGAAGAACCTCTGTTCAAGGCTGAGAACTGTTTTATGATGGAGGTCATAACATAGGGTAGAATCTTCAAGCATTTTCTATTAACTGATGAGCCAATGAAAAGATTGCTCAACAGTTGCTCAAAAAATACAAGTGCATCAGATTCTCTCCAGAGACAATCATTTGTATTAATAGTAAATAACAAAGCCACAAGAGCACGGAGAAAACGATCTTGAATTTTATCAATCTCGTTGTCAGAAAGATGCCAAGCATTAAACAGTACCCATGGACCACTCTCATGCATAAGGGCAGCACCTAACAGTGCATCAAGCAACAAGGGCACAATGCTGATCTCAAGATATGATTCGTCTTTCATGTACTGAACCAGCGAAGGTAAGAATGTTTTCAGTGCACAGCCTCCTTTCCATGTCCAAGTGCAAAGGACCTCACCAGCCACCCATGCTCTGGACAAGGAAAAGATGCATGAAGTGATATCAATTAATTGTGATGTGGCAGACTGTATATTTCCTGGAATACCTAAAACCACTTCACTAAAGCCAAGTTTGAGAATAAGCCTATCAACAAAGGCAACAAATCGCTCGTGTTTCAGTTCCTGCAACAAAGGAATTATTCATTTAGTTCACCAGATCTACTATAGTGACTAACAACTCTTGCAAATAAAGTATTATTTCACAACTCCCAAACACAAAATTCAGATAGTTGACAGAACAGCACAAATCAAGTATTTTTTAGGGTAAATACTATTTATAACAGATAAGCAACATCTTTAGCTAAGAACTACAAAGAAATGTCATAAGATAAGACCCAGCGTCTCCAAGAAAAAGTGTTAACCAAATATTTGTTGTGCTAAGTTGAAGCATGAACTATGGGGGAGGGCTGACAGAGAAAAGTTCTCTTACAATTTCATCTGTAATATCTGGATGCAGCTTGACCTTCACAGATGCATGCCCATTTTGTAAAGATGGCATCAACCAGAGCGGCCAATATTCTCCCTCAGATAATAAAAGATCAAAAAAACTTTGCAAGTTTCTGTGATCAAGACAGATGAGCTTCAACATGTCCACCACCCACTCGGAACATAAGATTGCTGTCCTTTCCACATGCAAGTCTCTCGTCTGAAATACAGCATACCTGACACACTGAGCTAGAATATTTGCCAATCTATTCGATGTGCATGAGTGAAGATTATTCCAAAAGGATGGACTTAAGCTTTGGCGAAAAGCATGTATGCTTTCTGCAAGGTTAGCCTTCAAATGCATTTTCTCATCCAAATAACCTTTTGAACTGCTGCACATAGAAACACCAACTTCCGTGTCTTCTATATGATCTTCCAAATAATTTTCTTCAACAAGAGCTAAAGACATGCTACATTCCCATTCAATGACAAAAAGAGCTCCCAGAATAGAAGGAAATACAGAATTTTCCTCAAGTCTCTGAAGTGAAAACAAGCTACCCTGAAGAACTTTAAAGGCAGACCGAGCCATCTCAAAGTTAATTATTGAGGAATTTCCTTCTGGAACCTTCAAGTGCTCAGGTTCAGCAGGCAACAAAGAATGTGCTAACCTTGCCCATTCAAAAGTTGATGCCATGAGTACCAATGCCAAATTCTTTAAAATGGATCCAAGAATTTTACAAACAGTCTCAGGAGAAAGAAAGCAGATTTGATCCTCTTGATCTGAGCCACCAAGTGCAGCACTGAAATTTAACACATAGAGTTCAAACATGCATTCATGAAATGTTAAATGATGATCACCACTACAGCAGCGCCCTATTAAGGCCCTGTTTGGATCTCCTAAGATAAATGAGAATGAGAACCAAACTTTTGGATTCTAGAATGAGATTCTACAATCCAACTATCTACCCAAACCCAGCTATGTGGAGATTCTCACTATGCAAAGACAATAATCCATGATCCCAACACCCCTCATTTTTTCTTATCTCGAATCCAAATTTTACATCACTATCGAGAATCACTATGAGAATGGGATCCAAATAGGGCCTAATATGAATGACTAAAGTTTTAATATTCCAAGTGTGGTCTAGCCCTCATAACTAGTATCAGTGGTTAAGGACACAGGTATAACAGGTCCACATCCACCAGCAACTGAAAGAAAAGCAAAACCAATGTGCTGGTGCCTGGAAACAAAACATTTAGAAAGGAAATACAAGGTGTTGAAGCACATACCATATAAAACTAACATGACAATCTGAAGCAGGCAAATCACAGAAGACAGAAGCTGCAGTAGAATCTAATATATCATGACGCCAATGTTCCGGAAGATAACCATTTTCCTGTAAATTTCTTAGCTTTCCCCCAACAATTCTTTCCCTGATTTTCTGAAGTAACAGCGTAAGCAATTCAAATCGCCCCATAATGTTTGAGGTCTTATCATCAACGGAGTGCTTTTGTTCAGATGTGGTACATTTGATGATGGAACACCATTGGTCAAAGAAGGATTCGTCTTGAATTAAGGAAAGTAACAAAACAATCTTTGAGTCACAGGTGCTATATTTTCCATCCAAACACCAAGGGAGCAATTCATCATTGAAAAACTCCAGATAAGACTTGATATCCAACTTCTCATCATTTTTCTTATAATTCTTCAAAAATAAGGGAGTGGGCCCAAATATTTCAACCAAAATTGAAAGAAGCTTAACAAGGCATGGAGTGTCCTGCACCAATAGCACAATGTTTTACAGAATCAAGAATCAACTTCAACTGCTAAGTAAGTTGCATGTCTACATCTTGCAGCATAAATTCAAAACCAAGATAGCTTTGTCTCAATATCCACACCATCTGTGTTGATGAATGATACAGATTGAATGGAGAAAATGGAATTGTTCTGCAGCAACAGGTTCCAGACCAATTTACTTGGAAGCTAGCCCAATCTGGTTTATACACAAGTAAATCAGCTTATGCTGCCTTCTTTGTGGGAACCATCAGGTTTGGTCCTTGGAGAAGAATTTGGAAAAGCTGGGCGCCTCCTCGTTGCAAATTTTTTATCTGGTTGGTTTTCCACAATCGGTGTTGGACGGCCGATTGCCTTGCGAAGAGGGGATTGCCCCATCCTGAGGCTTGCCCTTTGTGTGATCAAGCTGAGGAGACTATTCATCATATCCTGGTTGGTTGTGTATTCACTCGTCAAATATGGGCTCGAATCTTCCAATACTTGGGTCTCAGTTCTCTATCGCCAGAACCTACAGCATCTCGTTTCTCTAAATGGTGGTGGAAGGCAATATCGTCAGTGCCCAAGGCGGAACGGAAGGGTCTCAACTCCCTGATAATTTTGATAGCCTGGGAGGTGTGGAAGCACCGTAACTCATGTGTGTTTGAAAATGCCACGCCAAGCATCCAGGAGGTTCTTAGGGCTGTCAGCACTGAGGGCAATCTTTGGTGCAGGGCTGGAGCAAGAAAGCTCCAGGAGCTCTTGGTCAGGGAGCCGGCCGTGGGGGTTTAAGGCAGGCGGTTTTGTCTGGTCGATGAGAATTTAGTTTGTGGC